AGCTTTACAGTCCTCAGAAAGTTTAGTTGCTATTTCATATTTGATAAAGTTGAAAACTTTGGTTTTGTCGATTTTTTTGAATTGTTTCCTATATGCTTCAAAAAGTTTTTATACCATTCAAGTGTATCTAAGTGTGGTTTAAGTGATAGGATGCGAAAGATTTCAAGAAATTTACTTTTAGAAAGATTTAATGTTATAAACACATTAAATCTTCTATCATTATAGATATCAAAAAGTGGTTTGTTTGGTTTGTCAACTAGAATATTGTATTTTAAAGTAAGTTGAATTGGTTTGAGGTCTAAGTCTTTAATAAAGTTTTGATAGTAAATAGTTTGGTAACGATTGTGTAAAAATAAATATAAACGTATTAAATTAATAGCAACTTTGCCTTGGTTTGCAGTAGTATAAGGTAGAATTGAGTAGTGTGAGCAGAGAATATGTGCATAATTAAGTTTGGTAAAAAGTACTTGTGTAAATTTGAAAAGAAGATTTTTGAGGGTACTTTGAATTGCAGTAAAGGGAAAGATAAAGGATGAGTCAACTTCAGGATTTAAATCTTTAAGAAATTTAATAAGAAACTCAGGACATTTTTCTGTCATTATTTTTAATAAGTAGGTAAAACTTTGCTTTGGGGGCTTGTAGTCTGGATTGTCAATATTGGCTTTCCCTTTTATAGAAGGGATGAGTTAACCAGGGTAAATTCTCAGAGAAAGGGTTTGATAAAGTTAAATAAGTCTTGTGCAAGTTATGTGTTTAGTTTTGTATTTAGTTTTATACTCTCTGTAATTGGATATTGCTTAAACCAGTCTAAGTCTTTAGAAGTATTTGAAGAGAATATTTTTTATTTGTTTGGTTGAATTGCTGATTTGTATTAATATTTTCTTAGGAAGAAAAAGATTCTTGTTGAGATTGTTGTTGTTGTTGTTGTTGTTGTTGTTGTTGTTGTTGTTGTTGTTGTTGTTGCTGTTGCTGTTGTTGTTGTTGTTGTTGTTGATTTGTATTGATTATTGTTTGAGATAATGAGGATTCTTGTTGCTGTTTTTGTTTAGGAGGCAGGAGTTTAAGAGCACTTTCAAGAAAGGTTTTTTTTAATTTTTTGGAGGAATATTTGAATATATAAATAAGGAGTACTGCTCGTTGTTCGGGAGTTATAGATTTGGTTTGCAGAAGAGGTTTACATTTAATATAAATAATATGAGGTTTGCAGCCATTGTGAAAAAGCCTTCCTCTGAAAATAGAGATATTTTCAGTATCTGGATTATGCTATTCATCCTTGGACATGATACAGGGTATATTGTTAATTTTACAAATCATGCAGTAGTGTGTATGTTGAGAATAAGGAGTAATTTTGAGATTTGGATTTGGTTGTGAAGAGAAATTGAAAAAAAGAATTTTAGGAATGATTTGAGGAGCAGGTGATTGAGGAAGTTCTTCAGAAATTCCAATGAATTTTTTTTTTGAAATAGTTAGAGAAATTTTCATAGCTAGAGCAGGTTGTTGTTGGGTGGAGGAGTAATCTTAAAAAAATTTGAAGTAAAGTTTGCATGATATTTTCCACAAATACAGGTTTTAAGTGCAGGTTGTGTAGATAAGAGAAAGAAGTAATAGTTTTTGTTATTTTTAACTTTATAGTTTTTTGGATTGACATTAGCAAGAAGGATGCTGAGAGATTGTGGTTTGTCTTCTGTCATTCCAAGACCAAATCGACCTTGATATTTGAAATACTAGTAATCAAGATCAAAGAAGTCTGGTTGAGTATCGATAAGGGTAGGCATATTGTAATATATTTGTACTATAAGTTAAAAAGAGAAAATTTATTTTAAATTTAACAAGTTATAAAAAAAATTTATTTAAAAAAGAGGTTTTGTAATAATAAATTGTGTTTATTAATTAAAAAATTTTGATTAAGCTTGGAAAGGGCTTTTTGATGGAGTAAAAATTTGGTTCGTATAATGTTGAGCAAAAAGTCAAATTTTGGGTAGTAAAAAGGTACATGTTACACAAATCATGTGTCAGATCACGTGTCAGGTCAGGTACTGTATATCTAACCCAGTATCACCATAAAAATTTCGCCCCACGTAATCTGTGTTACATATGTATTTGAAGATCCTATTAATAAAATCGAAGTTTTTTTAAAACTTCTAGCGATGTTTTTATAATAACTACTTGTTCAAATTTGGTAATTTTAATTTTAATGCTTTGCAGAATTAAAATAAAAAAAATTTATCTAATTTGATTTAGTAATTGTCAAGAAATCATTGCTATAAGTTTTAAAAACGCTTAAAATATCTTAAAAATACTAAGATCAGGTGAATTCTTTC